AGCTAGCTGCCACAGTACCCCAATTGGCCGACGCACTAACCCCTCCCACGCAGCTTCATTCCGTGTGTTAGGATTATAGCGGAATAATACGGAAGCGAAGAATCGAAAATTGAGAATTATAGAAGTTAAATAATAGTAGGGAAAATAGAATGACAAACTAATAAACGAATATATATATATATGTATATATATATATATATATATATATATATATATATATATATATATATATATATATATATATATATTAATTCCTATAATAGAGAAGCAAAGAATATATATGTATATATATGCGTAGGGACAAAGAGGAAGAAATAAATTAGATGGAATCAGAATTAATGAGCAAATGATACAAGCAAATAACAAAACTATTTATACAAAAAAAAAAAAGAGACTAAAGTGGTAATCACAAGGAGGAGAGGAGAACACGGATAACGTGCATGCAAGAGAAACGGAGAATGATATCCAATGAGGCAACGTGGATGGTGGGCGACAACATGTTGTCCTATTGGATTTGAGCCACAAATAATTTATGTCCTAACAATCTCCACCTTGGATCAAATTCACTGTGAAAATTAACAATCGAAACAGCAGACTAAACTTAAGCACTGCTTGAACTTAGTGATAGCTAGAGGTTTGGTGAGCATATCTGCTGGATTCTCCAATGTATGAATCTTCTGAACGACTATATCTCCCGCAGCTACAACATCTCGAATAAAATGATATCTAACATCAATGTGTTTGGTTTTGGCATGATAGGTATCATTCTTGGTGAGATAGATAACACTTTGACTATTAGAGAACACAATAGTGTGACCTTGTGAAACACCAAGTTCCATAACCAAACCCCGTAGCCAAGTAGCTTCTTTGACACCCTCTGTTGCTGCAATATATTCCGCCTCAGTCGTAGACAACGCAGCAATAGACTGAAGCGTAGCTTTCCAACTGATAGCACAATTACAAAGAGTGAAAATATAACTGGAAAGCGATCGACGTCTGTCAAGATCACCACCATAATCAGAATCTACAAAGCCCACAATGTCAGTAGATGCAGAAGAATTTCGATCAAAAACCAAGCCCAAAGATGAAGTACCCTTTAGGTACCGTAGAATCCATTTAACGGCGTTCCAATGTTCCTTACCAGGGTTATGCATGTAATGACTCACAACACTTACAGCTTGAGCCAAATAAGGTCTAGTGCATACCATAGCATACATAAGACTTCCAACAGCACTAGAGTAAGGAACTTTTGACATATAAGCCACATCAACATCAGACTAGGGCATGAACCAGATGATACCTTAAAATGTGCACCAAGTGGAGTAGACACAGGTTTACAATGAGACATATTGAATCGATCAAGCACCTTCTCAACATACTTTTCTAGGATAGATAAAGTTTACCTGTTTGACGATCCCTGTGTATCTCTATGCCAAGAATCTTCTTTGCTGCACCAAGGTCTTTCATCTCAAACTCATTGCTTAGTTGAGACTTTAAGTCATCAACCAAAGACATATCAGGGGAAGCAATGAGCATATCATCAACATAAAGAAGCAAATAGACAAAAGACCCATTAGAAAATTCTTTAAAATAGACACAACTATCATAATGGCTTCTTGAGAATCCTTGCCCCAACATACACGCATTAAACCGCTTATACCATTGCCTTGGAGCTTGCTTTAGCCCATAAAGAGATTTGTGTTGACGGCATACACAATGTTCATTCCCCGGAACTTCAAATCCCTCAGGTTGGTACATGTAAAGTTCTTCATCAAGCTCTCTATGTAGGAAAGCAGTCTTTACATCAAGTTGCTCCAATTCCAAATCAAAAAGAGCAACAAAAGCAAGTAGAACACGTATAGAAGTATGACGAACAACTGGAGAAAAAATCTCGTTAAAGTCAATACCTTCACGTTGATCAAAACCTCAAACAACTAACCGTGCCTTCCACCGTGCTTTCTCAACCCCAGGAATGCCTTCTTTCTTTTTGTAAATCCACTTACATCTCAATGGGCGTTTACCTTTCGGCAACTCTACCAGCTCCCAAGTCTCATTCTTATGGAGACTTTCCATCTCTTCTTGCATAGCAACCAACCACTTGGACGAGGTTGGCACAGGAAATAACCTCAGAATAGCAGGATGTTTCACCATCAATCTCCTGTGCAACTGAAAGAGCATAAGCAACCAAGTGGGTTTCATCATCACTAGCATACCTAGCAGGTTTATTTGAGAATTATTTTCAAAGATGTCGACTGTTACCAAGTTCGATATCAAGAAGTTCGACGGGAAAATTAGCTTTTCTATCTGGAAGGTTCAGATGGAAGCCGTTCTAACCCAGAACGGTTTGAAGAAAGCGCTAGCTGGGAAAAAGAAGAAACCGGCTACAATGACCGATGAAGCCTGGGAAGATTTGGATGACAAGGCACGTTCAACCATTCTTTTGTGCCTATCTAAAGAGGTTCTGCGTGAGGTAGTAAGTGAGACGACTGCGTCAGATTTATGGTCCAAGCTGGATACGCTTTACATGGCCAAAACTCTGGCGAATACGCTACGCCTGAAGGAGCGTCTGTACACAATCCGTGTGACGGAAGGTACTTCTATTAAATCTCACTTGGATGAATACGCTACGCCTTTGTCATTCTAGGTACATCATTCTCCGTTTCTCTTGCATTGACGTTATCTGTGTTCTCCTCTACTCCTTGTGATTACCACTTTAGTCTCTTTTTGTTTTTTTTTTTTTTTGTTTTTTTTTTTTATGTATAAATAGTTTTGTTATTTGCTTGTATCATTTGCTCATTAATTCTGATTCCATCTAACTTATTTCTTCCTCTTTGTCCCTACGCATATATATACATATATAGTCTTTGCTTCTCTATTATAGGAATATATATATATATATATATATATATATATATATATATATATATATATATATATATATATATATTCGTTTATTAGTTTGTCATTCTATTTTCCCTACTATTATTTAACTTCTTATAATTCTCAATTTTTCGATTGTTCGCTTCCGCATTATTCCGCTATATTCCTAACACCGTGCATGCCATATCGAGTAAAAGACAGCCGCAAAAACATGCAAAGTTTTCTTGTCACAAGTTTCAAAAACATGCTGAAACCAAACATCAATAGTACCATGCAGATCTGGAGTCGGCAAGAGAATGTTCGATAGCCTCCAAACATTCCAAGCTAAAGGGCATGAGTAGAAAACATGTAGAAGAGTCTCATTTTGCAAGCCACAAATGGACCAATCTGGAACAACCTCTACATGCTTAAGTAGCAACGCCATCTTGGTGGGCAACACCCCTCTTACAACCCTCCACAACAAAGACCTCCATTTTGGGGGGCATTTTAGCTGCCATATGGCATTCCACTTTGTAAAAGAAGACGGAACATGATGAGTTTCGATCATAATCGTCCCTTAGCATTCTATAACCACATTTCACAGTATAGTTCCCCCTTAGGTCCCCCTTACAATACCAGAGACATCATCAAAATCAAGGCAAATAGGAGTCCGTAAAATTAAAATCAATGTCTCGGCCATTAAATATATCCTCAACAACCTCATCATCCCAAGTCTGAGCGTCTGGGGTCATCAAATTAACAACCAAAGAACCCCTTAGGGCCGGAGTCATTTCAGTTGTCACATGCGGTTCATCCACATTAACTAGCCAAGGGTCCCTCAACACATCTGTAGTTAACCCATTCCCAATCCGCCTCCTTATCCCCGTTCTGACTAACCCCTGCGCAGCCAGTATGCTACGCAAGCAGTAGCTGGGATTATGGCCCTTGGTGGCGTCCAGATAACAGGAGTTCGGGTAATACCTGGCCTGAAACACCTGAGCTACCAACGATTTCGGGCTTGTTAACAACCTCCAGCCTTGCTTCCCCAGTAACGCCAGATTGAAGTAGTGGATCTGCTTAAAACCCAGGCCTCCCTTACCCTTCGGGACACATAGCTTCTCCCACCTCAACCAATGTATTCCCCGCGCCTCATCGCCATTTTGCCACCAAAACCTGTTCATGATCCTTTCCAGCCTCTCACACAAGTAAACAGGAACCAAGAAGACACTCATAGTGAAAGTTGGCATTGCCTGAGCCACAGATTTAAGAAGAATTTCCTTACCAGCCCGGGTCAAAACTTTTTTGTTCCAGGTTCCAATTCGTTGCCTCAACTTCTGTTCCACATACGAGAAGACCATCCCCTTATTCCTACCAATAACAGATGGCAGCCCTAGAAACTTTCCATACCTGTCACCCTAGCCACCTTACAACCATGAATCTGGCCCTGTTGTTGTGCATTCTATAGCAGTAGGGATAATCCTTCTGCACAAATAATAAACAGATAAGGTGAGAGAGGGTCACCCTGTCGTAACCCCTTGGAAGGAACAACCACACCCCCACCTGCCCATTAACCATGATTTTATACCGGACAGTGATAACAAACAGCATTATTAATCTAACCCACTCCTGTGCAAACCCCAGCCTTAACATCATACCTTCTAAAAAAGCCCCACTACATTCTGTCATAGGCCTTTACCATATCTAACTTTAGAGCCGCCCACCCTTCCTTACCTCCCTGCTTCCTTCTCAAATAATGGCCTACCTCTGTAGCAACAAGTATATTATTAGTAATCAAACGCCCAGGGATGAAAGCACTCTGGGACTCAGATATAATAGAACCCAAAAGCAACTTCATCCTATTAGCCAATAGTTTAGCCAAAATTTTGTAAACCACATTGCACAGGGCAATTGGCCTCAAATCACTTACTAACTCCGGGGCCTGTTTCTTGGGAATTAAAACAACATTGGTATCATTTAGGCGATCAGGAAAAGAACCATTATTTATACAGCCAAGAATGAAATTAGTGACATCCACCCCTACCACATCCCAAAAGAATTGATAAAAAGCAGGATTCATACCATCCGGGCCAGGAGATTGATCTGGACCCATACTGATTAAAGCCTCCTTCACCTCTTCAGCTTCAAAAGGTCACCCTCATTAGTTTATAGTTTTGGTCCTGAGTCACACGTGGCTGGACAAAATCCAAGGCTTCCTCAATCACATTACCATTTGACTTGAAAATATTGTTATAATATTCAAGCACCATAGAACACATGACTTCACCTTCTACCCGCCTGCCCTCAGGATCCTTCAACTTAACAATCTTATTTTTACGCCTTCGCGCAGAGGCATATTTATGGTAGTACCTCGTATTGGCATCAGCTTCCCTCAACCAATGCTGTTTGGCCCGCTGCTTCCAGAATGCATTCTCCTGTTCCAAAAGCCTCACCAACCGGGCATCCAGCTCCTTGACCAAATTCAAAGCCTCCCCGTCCCGTCTGCCCCATAGCCGGTTCAAGTCTTTCCTTATATTCCCAATCTCTCTTCCAACTTTATGATGTCTGTCACCACCTCACCTACGGAGCTTGTCCCCACACCCGTCTAGCTTACCCTACAACCCTTCCCCCTTGAAACCCGCCCATGAACTGTCCACCACCTCCCTACATCCCCTATCCAATAACCACGAATTCTCAAAGTGAAAAGGTGGCCTGCCCCTAGGTGCTGCCAAACTAGAATGTATGTCTAAAAACAACCCCGAGTGATCCGAATTGTCAGTACTAACATTAAAAATGCGGGCCTGTGCATAAGTCTCACACCACCCCTCCTCAACCACTACACGGTCCAGCCTTTCCTCCACCCAGTCCCTAGTCCCCCTTCCCCGCTCCCAAGTAAATGGGTACCCAACTGTGCTAACCTGCAACAACCCACACTCAGTTAAAACATGGATATCTATTTTGGTTTATTCAGATATACACACATTCTATATCTAAAAATGTGCACCAAAAAATTAAAGGTGTTTCCAACTATCTTTTGTGCAATATAATGATAGAATCCTGTAAGGCTTTTTTCTCAATTTTTGCTCTTCTATCATTTTCAAAATAGAACACTGAACACATTTTTTATCCATCTTTTGTTAGTTGGACCCATAATGCCACATCAATATTGTCCCCACAAGGAGTATTAGTTACTATGAGCCATATATTATTGCAACAATATTATTCCATTATATATATATATATATATATATATATATATATATATATATATATATATATATATATATATATATATATATATATATATATATGGTATGAAAAAAAGTTTGAAAATATTGAAAAGTTAACCTAGCCATTGCACATCTCATGTTTAGTGTCATCTTGATTGGAAGGTCGAGCCCAACATCATGTTATTGAAATGTAGAATTGATTGTTACGAAATAATGTTGCGTTTTCACCACTAACGCAACTATAACCTTTAGCGTGCATTTGTACAGTTGAGGCTGCTAGCAATTCAAGTGTTAGAAAGGGATGGTGGATGTTAATTAAAGTTGTGTTTTTGCTACTAATTATAATTTTGGTATAGTAATTAATAAATGTTTGAATATCACCATGCTTAATGCAAAACCACCATGTTTACATTAGAAAATATACAAAAATGCAAAGCATGCATACTGGAATTAAAGGTGAGAAATATAAGGAGAAGGGTCACTTTGAAAATGCAAATTGATAGGCCGGAAAGGAAACATAGGTGCTGTCCGGCCCGTTCCACCTAAAAAAGTTTATATTCATTTCTTTCACTTTTATGGAAGATTTTGGATGTCCTCTATAAAATATTTTATGATTGGTTTTGAGTTTGTGTATGGTCTCCAAGTTGAGCAGATTCCTTCCCCAAACGAAGTTGCACAAGGAATTTGAATTATATTGTTCTGTGCAGTGTGGAATATTTTATATTTTACAAACTACTTGTGGATTATCACAATTCACGATACCTAGCCCAATGACTTTTTGGATTCCTCTAGTAATTGATATAATGATGGAGTTTGATAATAGCTGTTAGCTGATTAGGTTAATGAGTTTGACTAGTTGATAATATTAGGTGATTGTACAAAGATGTTTGGTAAATTAGTTGTTAGTTGATAGCTAATTAAGTACATATAAAATAACTTTTTCAAAAAGCTGATCTAAAAAGCTATTTGAGCATTTTTTTTTGGATTTTTAACGTTTTTGAGCAATAAGCTGTTACAAAAAGTTAATTAATCAATAATTCATATTGATTGTTTAACTAAGTTAAATAGCTAATAATAGTCAAACAAATCAAAATCAAAATTAACTAATAAGGTGACTATGTTATAAAACAAGACCAATACATTCTATAATTAACTATAGCAGCTCAAAATGCCACCGGTTGCTCCTTGGAGTAGTGGGGTTACGTTGAAAGGTGAATTTTGGAGATTCATATGGTAGTGAAATGATGAGTCTAGCTAGCAGTGTAAGAAGGCATTAACATGTGACTTTAGAGTAGCGCACTATAGTGGCCAAGTCATAGGGGCCTTTCTCGGCCGGAGAAAGGTGCGTACTTGGGACCGAATTGAAGAGAAGGAATGAATGGGATATTATATTGAATATTATATTGAACGAGTTAGGGAAACATATCCCCAAGAGATCAGAGGCGTTTTAGCCTGGTAAACATACCTTAACAAATTATTGTGTACGACACGGTTCAAAACAACGTTGTGAATATTATGAGTAAATATAATGTACATTATGTTTTAAAATAATGTACATTATGTTTTAAAATAATGTACATTATACTTTAGAATAGTGTACATTATGTTTTAGAATAATGTACATTATGTGTTAGAATGATGTACATTACGTGTTAGAATAATAAAACATCTGGAGTAATATAATGTACATTATGTTTAAAAATAATATATGTTAGGAACTTTGTATTATGATTTTGATGATACCAATGTAATGTAGAAAAGTAGACCCCTAACCTTTAGCTTTTTAATCGCTGATTTCGTCCTAGACGAGAGTTGCCATAACTCCTCTGTAATTCGTGTTAAGCTAGACAAACACACGAAAATGAGTTATGACTAGATGATAGGGTCTCCATGGCGAAAGAAGACACGAGACATGAAGAACAACAACGTGAGTCAAGCAGGAGTTGTCAACAAGCACGAAAGGACAGTTTTGTTAAAAGACGATCTTTATCAAGCATTACTTCTCTTAGACAACGAGAAGAATGTTCTACCTGTCTGATTTGACAACATCCTAGGACTATAAGGACTTCATCTTATGGGACACATTTTTCAAGAAGCATTAAATGAAGATGTACCATCTCCTGGAGCTAAAGGACAAAACCCTAATGCTTTCTATACCTTCAACGGCTACATGGTACAACCTCATTAATGGAGAATTTAATGCATAAAGCTCCCCGGTCGTTGTCCACTGGTTAAAAGGTTCGAAAATTTCATCTCCCTCCAAAGGATGAATTTTCATCACCTATATAAACCCACCTTCATCAACTAAGAAGGTGCTGGTTCTTTATCACTCGACTCATTTACTTACAAAAGCTCTTGAAACGCTCTCAAATTTCCAAAAGCTTTTGTGAACCAGTTTTGAGGTGTTAAGTTACTTGAAGAAGGTCTTTGATCATTTCTTTTACACCTCAAAAGAAGTCTTGCAATTTGTTCGAAGCAATCATCTCTCAGTCAAGACTTCATTGTTGGAGAAATCAAGAAATCATTTTCTACCAACCTCAACTCAGGAGAAGAAGTTGATAGAGGCGGAGTAAACTTGTGAAGTTGAAAAACCTACGAAGGCTGTCCGGCTTAGTGATCAAGGAAGTCTTTGTGTAATTGTGCTAAGGAGTGATAGTGCAATCCTTCCATAAGTTGTGGAAGAAGAGTGGAGTAGGCAACGTTTGGCCGAACCACTATAAAATCTCGTGTTCCTTCTATTCCTTACTAACTCTTTTTATTTCTGCATTTGCATCATTCTCCATCACTGTTGCCGAAAGTTTCTCTAATCTCATAAACTCGTGCAAAGCTATTAAAACGAATCTGACTTTTTCGCTGCGCCAAAAACACCGAAATGTGACTTTAAGGGCATTTCACGAAGAGAGTCTATTCACCCCCCACCCCCCCCCCCCCTCTCTAGACTCTCGTTTCATTCTATCGGGACCAACAAGTGGTATCAGAGCAAATACCTTGATCGGTAAAGGCTTTGCATTTACTGCCTGGTAGATCCCCTTTCAAAAATCTCTTGAAAATCTTGTATGTTTTCTTTGCACGTTTTTTATCTAAAAATGGAAAAGGAACATGCACATCGCTCTAAGCAACTTGCATTTAGTCTTGCTAAATTTGATGACTGAAAGTTAAGAATGCAGGCTCTCCTATGCTCTATTCATGATGAAATGTGGGACGTCATAACAACCGGACCAATCACGGTCATGATGGCGAATGCACAAGCAGCCGCACAGGGAGCAGGAGCTGCACAAATGATACCAAAGCCAAATCTGGATAATGTGGCAAGAAATATTCTCTACAACTCTCTGGATGATTCCTTGTTTCCCAGGGTCCGAAAGTGCAAGAATGCCATGGAAGTGTGGAATGTCCTTATGCGTTTGGGAGAAGGAGACGAGCAAGAAAAAGACAACAAACTGACAATGGCCATGAAGAAATTTGAAGATTTCAAAATGCTGCCAAATGAAACAATCATGGAGATGGAACTCAGATTCACCAGACTTATGGGCGATCTGTCAGATCTCGGGAAAGAGCCAACTGAAAAGGAGATGAATCTGAAGATTCTTCGTGGATTACCAAAATCATGGGAAATGAAGGTTATTGTAATGAGGGATAGCCGAGATATGAAAACTACAAGCACGGCCAAGATCTTCAGTGATCTCAAAGCATATGAGTTCGAGCATGAACCGAAAGATGCTGAAGAATCAGAAACAAGAAATATTGCTCTCGTGGCAAACCAATCAGCATCAACATCCAACAGGTCAAAATCTAACTCTTGTGATTTTTTATCTGATGAACAATATGCACTATTTGTCAGGAAAATGAAAAGGTTCATGAGAAAGAACAATTTTCAAGATCCACAACGATCGGGCCACCGAAGGAAGCATGAGAACTTTCCTCAAACCTCAAAAACCGAAACCATGGACTCGCAGCTATTGTGCTATAATTGTCGAAAGCCAGGACACTTCAAGGCAAACTGTCCTCATCCTATAGTGAGCAAGCATCAAGATAACAACACTACCACAAGTCTCTCAAAAGAGACTGGAGAAAGATATAAAAGGAGCGACAAGCCTGAATCCTCAAACTCCAGAAAGGAAGGAAGAAGGAAGGCTATGGTAGTAGACGAAACTTTTGACACAGTGGCAACCGAAAGTAGCTCCTCAAGCTCTAGCTCAGAAGACGAAAACACTAATGAGGAGAAAGGACTACTGTGCTTATTTAGTCAAGAGTCAGACGAACTATGCCTCATGGCAGATGAAGATGAGGTAAACTCTCATTCATCTTCTTGTTATTTAGCTGAGTCAAGTTCTGTGGGAAGTCATACCTCCAATGAATCTGTCACCGAAATGATGAGGAGGTTCAAGGTGATAAATAACACTTACTCCAAACTTAAAGAGGAGAACTCTCGGCTCATAACTAGCTATAATGAACTAAAGCAAGTTCGTGTTGAGAACAATATGCTGGTCATTGCATAGGAGCAGCTTGAGAAAGATGTTCTCGCTCTAAAGGAGCAATGCACATCAAAAGAAAAGAGAGAGCAAGAAATGCTTGAAGTCTTGAATAAATTCAATAATTCATCCAATCTAATGGATAGAATGTTGAATGAATCTAGACTGCCCGGGGAAAAAACTGGAATTGGTTTTAACCCCAGCTCCTCTTCACAAGTCGAATTGAACAAATCCACGAATGCATATTCACACGAAAGCTTCGAGGCTGCATTTGTTCAAGGAACCCAGATGTTTGAGCCTATGATGGCAGTTAACAATGTCAAAACACCACAAACAACAAGCCAGCCGAAAGGAACGGCTGTACAACGTGTTGTGGAATCTGGAAAGGAGAAATCCATTAAAGGCAATCCTAGACAAATTTATGTAAAAAAGAATGGACCAAATGGCAATAGACAACATCTAAACCATAAAAAGGGTCAGCCTAACAGGAATACTCAATCCAAGAAAAAGACGAATGTTAACCAGAGGCATTATTGTCCGAAATTCACACGAAAGAGTCCTGCTCAAGGAATCTCAAAGAACGGACAAATCAGACAACCCAAAAGATCCTTCAAAAGATCTGGGTATGGCAATGGATGGACTGGGCCATCAGAAGAAGGTTGGTTTGATTACCCAGAACCTCTCCCTAGAGCAGTATTTGAAAAGGTTCATCTACGTAAACAAACTAATCATCTCAAGCATTATGAGAATCCTCCTCAGGAAGATCAACGAAAGAAATATAATGCTAAAGTCTTTGCCAGCATCCATTAAGATTATCGTACATCTAATGGATATAGAGGACCAAGGATGAGTCGTGGATACTCTAGGTTGATGTGGGTTCCAAAGTTGACTGCTAACCCCAAGGACCCGAAACTAAATGGGTACCTAAAAACACATAATCTTTGATGCAGGAAAAACAGGTCATATGGTATGTAGATAGTGGATGCTCAAGACATATGACTGGTGATAAAACAATATTGAGCAACTTTATAGAAGTAGATGGACCCAAAGTTATCTTTGGAGGAGAAAACAGTGGCAAAACTCGTGGAAAAGGGGACATCATCAAAAAGGGAATAACAATACAAGATGTCTCTTATGTTGAAGGACTGAAGTTCAATCTCCTAAGCACAAGTCAATTTTGTGACAAAGGATACAAAGTAGAAATCTTCAAAAACGAATGCAATATCGTGAACACGAAGGATGGCAAGACAGCCTTGACGGGTCAACGAAAGAAGAACATGGACGTAATATCCTTAAATTCTTCTAACGCTAACATTTGTCTTGTGGCCAAAAGTAATGCAGATCTCAATCAAGAATGGCACAACAAACTAAGCCATCTGAATTTGAAGACGATAAACAAGCTTGCCAAAAGAAATCTTGTGAGAGGGCTACCCGAAGTATCTTACACGAAAGATAAAATATGTGAGGCATGTCAAAAAGGGAAGCAACTCAAGTCATCTTTTAAGTCAAAAGATGTGGATGCAAACTCTCGTTCTTTAAGTCTTCTACATATGGATCTTTTTGGACCAGTAGAACCAGCAAGTTTGAGTGGAAGAAAGTACACTCTTGTTATAGTAGATGATTACACAACATATACATGGGTGCTCTTCTTGAAAAAGAAGAACGAAACTGAAACAGCTCCTCCAAATCTGTTGAGACAACTTCAAACAGAAAAGGAGGTCAAAATAATTCGAATAAGATCAGATCAGGGAACGAAATTTGTCAACAAAGTCATAAAGGAATTCTGTGCGCAAAATGGAATTTTTCATCAACTCTCGGCAGCACGAACCCCTCAGCAAAATGGAGTGGCCGAAAGGAGAAACAGAACCTTGAAAGAAGCTGCACGCACGATGATCTCGCACTCAGGACTACCTAAGAGATTTTGGGCCGAAGCCATAAATACGACATGCTATACACAAAATAGATCCTTGATCAACAAATCTCACAACAAGACACCGTATGAGCTATGGAAAGGTAAAACTCCTAGTATTGGTTATTTTCATGTCTTTGGTTGCAGGTGCTTCATACACAACAATGGAAAGAATCATCTAAGGGCTTTTGACGAAAGAGCTGATGAAGGACTCTTCATGGGATACTCCTCAGTAAGCAAAGCATTCAGAGTTCTAAATAAACGAACAATGGTAATTGAGGAATCCATTCATGTCAAGTTTGATGAACAATCTGAGAAGAGTCCATCTGGATGTAAAACATCAATCAAGTCAAGTCAAAGTCCTCAGCAACCTGTTGATGAAGACATCTCAGACGAAGAAGATATACTTTCGTCCTACACGAAATATCAGCTAAAGGTTTCAGAACCCGAACCTGTGTCTCAAGAAAAGGTTGGAACTCAACAGAATGATCCTACAAGTACCACAACACCTGAACCAATGATATACATCGAACTACCATATATTCCTGAAATGGATGCTCAAAATCAACAAGATGCTTTTGAACCAGACCTACGATGGTTAAGAGATCATCCATCAAATCAGGTTATTGGTAATGTACAAGAAGGTGTGAGAACAAGCGCCTCTTTGCACGAAAGTATGATGGCATGCTTCTTGTCTCAAATGGAACCAAAAACCATAGAAGAAGCCCTAAAAGACCCTGACTGGGTAATAGCCATGCAAGAAGAGCTTCATCAGTTTGAACGAAATGAGGTATGGGAACTTGTTCCGATACCATCTCATCAGAATGTCATTGGAACTAAATGGGTGTTCAGAAACAAAATGAGTGAAGATGGGCTCATTGTTAGGAACAAAGCTCGTCTTGTTGCTAAGGGATATTGCCAAGAAGAAGGAATTGATTTTGATGAAACCTTCGCTCCGGTAGCCCGACTTGAGGCTATACGCATATTCCTAGCTTTTGCAGCCTATAAGAATTTCAAAGTTTATCAAATGGATGTCAAGAGTGCTTTCTTAAATGGACTTCTTGAAGAAAAAGTGTATGTTGAACAACCACCTGGCTTTGCAGTCAATAATGAGCTTGAAAAAGTCTATCATCTCAAAAAGGCTCTTTATGGGTTAAAGCAAGCTCCACGAGCCTGGTATGATACTCTTTCATACTTTCTTATCAACTGTGGCTTCACGAAAGGAGTGGTTGATAAAACACTCTTTCGTATAAAAGATAATGATCATATTCTATTAGTTCAAATCTACGTTGATGACATTATATTCGGAAGCACGAATCCAACTTTGTGTGAAAAAGTTCTCCAATCTTATGAAAGGCAAATTTGAGATGAGTATGATGGGTGAACTAAACTATTCTGGGGT